AAACAAGCGGAGTTCCAGACTCTCATCACAAGAGGATCTGATTCAGGAATCTGGGATGGGACCCAGTGCTGTGTATTTGTAACAGATAGTCATCGATGATTTGGATGAATTTGCTCCTCAGCCTCTCTGAGGGACAGTGCCTTAGGGTCGGAGCTTTCTCCAGCTCTCCCGGCTGGAATGTGGCTCCCTGCCTGTGCTCCTTGCTGGGCTTGCTTCTGGCCCTCCTTTGGTCACCTGTACTCCACTTGTTTGCACTTGTGTTTGGTTCTCCCACTAAAGTAGAAGCTCCGTTGATATGCCTTGTTTGTCTTTTTCTCGCTCACTAGCATAAGCCTGACACTTTATTTCCTCATTTTTTAGACACTCTGAATTATAAGGTTCTTCTAGAAAAAAAGAAACATTCCACATTAAGTGTCTTCTGGGAAATAGGAATCATTTCTGTATGCTAGTTTGTTAATTTTCTAGGAGATGGGAAGTCCTTGTATTACAGTCATAATTCTTTTTATGTTTAACAGTGTACATTCTTGAATCTTGGATAGAAAAAGTAAAACCATCAGGGGGAAAAGAGAAGAGTTAGCAGATAAATAAAGTTCGTCGTTTTTTGTTTCAACTAAGGATTGATTATTAACTTTATTAATGCAGACTGAAATGCAAAAAACAAGTGGGAACAGTTTTTAAGCCTTCTTATGGCTTTTTTTGCTTAAGATGAACAACTGCCTTACAATCAGTCCTCGGGGCAAAAGGGATAGGGTCGTAGTATCACAGCGTAGGTTTCATTGTGAGCCATTCATTTGTTAGTAATAACTTCGCATACAAACATGAATGTTTTCTTTTCCAAGTTCCCAAAGGCAAACATTTCCTTTTCTGGTTAGTTTCATTATGGGTAAGCTAAATAGTTTACTGTGGAAAAAGAAAAATCTAAGATTTACACTGCTCTTCTAGCTTTTAAGGTACCTTTCTAATTCTTGTAAACGAGTTCACAGGATAATACATACTCAGAAGCGGTCTCTTTTCGTACTGGATTAAATATTTGTGATGCTGAGCTTTAGCTGTGTGTACGTTCACAGTGGCCTGCCACTCCACAAAGGAGACACCCACTCTGGAAAACCTTATGTGACTGTGGTTGGGGAATTTGGTGATTTCGATGACTAGAGATGGGAGTCAGGGCTTGGCTGGAAAGTGATACAACTGCAGATACAGAGCAGAACTAGCAAAATGGCCAGGAATCACTGTCAGTTAATTTTTTGGGATGTTTAATATACAGTTAGTTTTTCAGAAATAGAAGCAACGTTAACAGGACTGGTTAAATAGGATAGGAAAGTTTGTGACTGGGAGGGACACTCCAGAGCTTCCTAGTTTCTATAAACACTTTAACTTGTCAGCGTTAATACAACTTCCTGTAATGACCAGTCTTTCTTTGCAGTGCCTGAAACCAAAGTTATTTTCATTGTTATCGTGGTACCTTTAGTTAGATTTAATTTTTCTTATTCAAGTAGTACAGTTTGTGCTGGATGATCGCTACACTTCTCCAAGCTGATGAGGTAGTTTATCCATTAAGACAGAGCTGCTCTCAGTCTGGGCAACAGAGTAACTATTTAGCCTCATTCATTGACCTATAAAGAGCTGAGCACTAAGTAAAATAGGAACTTCAGTGTGGACTGAAATATTTATTTCTTTATTTGTCCTGCAAAATAGATTTGAAATGGGGCGCCTGGGTGGCTCAGGCGTTAAGCGTCTGCCTTCAGCTCAGGTCATGAACCCAGGGTCCTGGGATCGAGCCCCGCGTCGGGCTCCCTGCTCCGTGGGAAGCCTGCTTCTCCCTCTCCCACTCCCACTCCCCCTGCTTGCGTTCCCTCTCTCGCTGTGTCTCTCTCTGCCAAATAAATAAATAAAATCTTAAAAAAAAAAAAAAGATCTGAAATGCTATAGAATTAGAGACATTGGTTTATTCTTTAATTCTAATTTGGATTGGCTTTAAAAAGTGAATCAGTTACTACTTTCAGTGGCAAAATACGATGTTTCTGTTGGAGAAGGAATTGGTCTATTTTCTCTGAATAAAATCAGAATAGGACTTTGACTTCAAGTTGCAAAAAACCTATTGTCTCTTGATTCTAGGGTTATGGTAAAACATTTGAGCATATATAACAAAAAGATTACATATAACTGCAGAGATTTTAAAATTTAGGTCTCTACAGATCGAATTGCCTTTTGGTGAATTTGATCAGATGAAAGTGGTTCCGTTTTATCCAGATCTTAGAAACCCAGAGCTATAGCACTGTACATTAAAAACAGAGAGGATGCTTTGGCATGTGCTTATGGTTTTAATACAACTTTGTGAGATTGTGTGTATGTGTGTGTGTGTGCACATTTACATGGGTATGTATTTCTTGATGTATTATGTCGGTGTGTTCGTGTTTATATCTTTTTTATTTTATTTTTTTGGTGAAAGCTTAACTAGCTATGGGATGTCTGGGCTCTAGGTGCTGCAGGGGTGTTGTAAACTACTGTGCTGCTTTATTTTTACTGCTAAATAAAGCTAGTGGTATAGTAATTTACGCTGCTCTGAAAATGTTCATTAAACAACTAAGGGATGAAGCAAGGAAACGGTTTTGTTATGAAAACTAGATTTTTAGTTTCAGAATTCCTTACTAGAGTGGACCTAGCCCGGGAGAAATGCTTGTGGCCTCTAGTTTAAGAAAACCGTAATTGCCGAAGGCCTCCCTGGATTGAATGTTCCCTGTTCATCGTTCGCAGATGGCAGCAGCCCAACCAAACTGGGACACCGAGTCATATTAGCCCAGAACAGGTGCCTGTTTCTTTCTCCAGAAAACTGATTCAGGGGCTCATAATTACATCACTTTTAAATACCTTATGTTTTATAAAAATCACTTTGTACTTTTCAGAGCCCTATCCACATATATTACCGTATAATCCTTTAAAAACACTGTGAGAGGAATGAAATACATGCTCTTGTCTCCATTTCACAGATGAAAAAATTCAGAGGCAGAGAGGTGTCTTGATGCTTCAGATCACAGCTAACGAAAGGATAGACTAGACACTGGAACCCTGGTCTGCTGACTCCTGGTCCACAGCGCTGGTCAGTGAACCATTGTGGAGCACTCGAGCATTACAGCCGTGGAGTGTTCTTGTCCTTTCATGCCCAGCCTCTTCTGGCCAACACCCATGCACACAAATAATTAACACTCCCCTGGAAAGTTCTAGCACATTATTTTAAATATGTGTAAGGTTTTATTAAGAATACGTGGCATAGCACTGGTGGTTACACCGTTCTTCTGTTCTGAACTTTCATAATGTCCTTGTGCCGTTCCGTCTTTATTAATTTAGATTATAGTTATGATATAAATCTTAAATGACATTTGATGGTAGACTGACTGACTTAGTGGCACAGTTCATCCTAACCACCATTCATCATGATAAAGGTGGTTTGAATCTTCACCTCCTTGAAAACTGTACTAGTGATCCTCACCTGATGTCCCATCAGTGAACATGGTTTGTAATGTGTGCTCTGAAAAATAAAAGTTTGATGACAGCTGCCTGTTATCTGACAGGCAGCTATATATTTTTCTAGGCATGTGTCATTTGGAAATTGGCCCGTCTGGCATATAGTTGCCCAGCTTTGCACTTGGTGTGAAGAAGCGGCTATCAGAACCTTTGTATTCTGTTATTTTATGAGCTCTTTGCAGTGTTTCTCATGTAGCTGTCACAGTTTTTATATTGCTTGTGAGCATTCCAGATTGCAGTTTGTCGTAAGTTTTTGTTCCAGTTAGAAACTGCCTATTTTTTTTTAAGTGCATATTTCTGGAAGTTGACAATTATTTTTATTTCCTTGTTTGAAAGTACTTTGTTATTTTCCAGCTGTATGATAGAGTTCACTTTCGTCATTATTGTGAACATATTTTTTTTACAAGATGCTTTTTTTCAAGAGAATTTGTTACATCCACATTAGCAGAGCATTATTAGAATGGACTGATAGGGATCAAGGACTTTAGTGGCCTTGGCTAAAGTTACCAATCTGTTGCAGTGATAGTAGTTGTTTATCTTAATCTTTCTAGTTTAACCTCTCTCTTCTCTTGGCAAAATGAATAAAAAAGATTTTTAAATCAGTGCAGTGGGTGAACTGTTTCACCCCCAACTATTATACAAGAGATGCAGAAAACTAGTAGTAGAATCACTCTTCATTGATTTATTTTGGCTTTAGGTCTAAGTCATAAGACTTGGTTTTGCTACATGAAATGTTGTGCCTTCCAAGCAAACTAGAAAATAACCATATTCAAAGTCATTGATTTATTTGGTTTTAATGTGATGACGTTCAGCTTCGATGTGGTTATCTGCTGTGCAGTGGGATGACGTGGGACTAGATAACTAGCTAGAACTTGTGTCCTTGCTCTGCCCTTCACTCTGTGAGCTTGAGCCAGTCCCTCAGCCTTTCTGTTCTGAAATTGTAAAAGGGGAACTATCTGAAGATCTGTTATTAGTTGTTGTAGCAATTGCATGAGGTCATCCATATAAAATAAGCCTGTGGCACAGTGCCTGACCCATATTAACCGTATTATTAACATTAGCCGTTAATATCCCTAATAAGCCATACGCGCATCAACCTAAGTAGCTTTTTAACAGAATAAAGCCCTGTAAGCATTGATTTGATTCACTCTCTGAACTTGATTACCGATATAAAAATCCTGAATTCTAAAAAATGCAGAATATGACTCATATTCTCATTACACCATGTGTTGTCTCTACTGAAGGTAGAACATCCAGGAGAGAATTGAGCTCCTCTGTGTTGCGGTATTGGTTCTTGTTGCCTTCTCATACCACTTCACTTGGTCTTTAATCTGATGTGTAGGCTGAATTAACCAAATCCTTATCTTCCTGCTGGCTGTACGGTAGGATAGCCTTCGGCAGAGGTGCAGGTGCTCTGCCCCTCCCACGGCGCATGCCTCCCTGCTCCATCTCTGTGGTGACCCTCCACCCCCACACGCATGCTCGCTCCCTCTCGAGGCTTTGCAGGTATGCAGGTCGAAGAGGGTATTTGGGCTGCTTTTCCAAGGTAAAAAAAAATTCCTTACAAAATACAGAATGATTTTTTTTTAAGATTTCATGTTACTTTTTGTGAGATTTTATAACTTCTGATCATTTTGTATAAAAACCAAATAAAAGCACTCGTCTAACAGAGAAATGCCTCCGTTTTCTCATGGAGCAAAATAAACACATTTCAAATTTGCTCCCCTAAAGAAAAAAAACATTTTACTGATTTTGGCATTTAAAAACCATGTTAGCCAACAAACAAAACTCTTCTATGGCTAAAATATAACAGTGTCTTTGGGTTTCTTGAGCTGGAGCCCCGCATTTAGCCTGTTAGTAGGACATTTTTTCTTCTCACCCTTCTAGAAGGGTTAAAAGAGCTGGACTAATGAATTATTGGTGTGAGAGACTTTCACTTTCCTTTTCAGTATCCTGATTACTCTTACTCCCTGGATAATCTTTTTAAGAATTATTTTCCGTTAAACAAGACAAACTGCCTAATAGGAGGGTTTGTCATCGTACATCATTGTGTGATTTTCATTTAGACCTCATGATGTGCAGTGCGGTTATATCTGCTTATTGATACTAAGTAAAAGAAAAATGTAAGCTGCTAGGTTTTCCTAGTTGCTAGAGAGTCACAAGTTATTGCCAGGCCCACTTTGAGTTACAGGAGGCCTCACAAATGAGAAGATCATGCTTTAGATAAATTGCTGTTCCCATGTAAGATGGTCCCTAAATTCCTATTTATTGATTTTTAAAAGCCTAAATAAGTGAATGCTGTATATTCACAAAGCTGCAAATACTATTCATCCTAGTTTAAATACTTAAAAGAGAGTAACGTGATTTAGCCTATTGAGTTAAAATATTGCCATACTAATGATTTGCTCTTCTTAACTGTTACCTGCTACGTTTGCAGTAAAAGTATTCTTGTTTGTTAATTACAGCTTCAAAAATTGTAGGGACTTTATACCATATAGATGTCACACATTTCAGTTCTTTAATTGGGCAAGGAGAATTATACGTACTTGCTTAATTTTTTCCTTGACTTTTTAAAATTATCTTATGATCAAATGTTGCAACCAGTTTTAAGGTTGGTGTTACAACTTAGTAAGAAACCAAGATTTTTACCTGTTAAATAGCATTTTGCACATTGGGCCATAATGTAAGATACCTTTGTTTTGAAAAAGAAGGCTCTTTGTTCTGTTTTGTTTTAAACTTTAATTCTACAGAAATGCATTCTTTTGAAGGGAATATATATGTTCTTTTTTTTTTTTTTTTTTAAGTGATCTCTACAGCCAGTGTGGGGCTTGAACTCACGTCCCCGAGGTCAAGAGTCATGTGCTCTTCTGATGAGCCAACCAGGCGCCCTTCATCTTATATTTTTGTATGTAATTATGTTTTGTACTAAGTGCAAGTATTAAGGTTTAGAGCATTATTCTTAGTATCCATTTTCATTATGATAATCTGAATTCTTTTCTCAAATAGGAAAAGTAAAGAGCAAACATAAAAGACAATGTGGGCAAGAAGGCCTTGAGTAGCAGATTTCAGGAGATCTGTTCTTTAACAAGTCTGATCACAGTTAACTGGCAGCTCTCAGCAGCCATTCAGTAACATGTTATTGAACACCTACTCATGAGCAGGCTGGATATTTGCTAGTGAAGCAAATGAGAACAATCTCTGTTCTCATTGATCTTGCTAGTTGGAGGAACCTACATTAATAGGCAAACAGATAACTAATTACACGTGGTAAATGTTCTGAAGGACAAGAAAAGGAAGCCGTGAGGGAACAAGAGGATGGTCTGAGGAGGTGACCTGTAAGTTAGGACCCTGTGGGTGAGAAAGGGTCAGCCAGGTGAAGAGAAGTAAGGTTCAGCAGAAGGAGCACCATGTGTGCAGGACGTAGGTGGGGAAAAGCTTGCTGGAGTGTGGAAATTGGGGCAAATGAGAAGAGCGGTGGTCAGTCAGCAAATAGTTGTCGAGAACCCCTGGATACTAAGCGGTTCCGGGGTGAGGAGACTCTTGCAGAAGGAACAGCTTGTCAGGTGGTCGCTGTGAAGATGGAGACGAGACTGGTGGCTTCAGGATGCACTTTGTAGGGAGAATCATGGGGATCTGACAGATTGGAGATGAGAGGAGTGAGGGGGAAGCAGACGTTAAGAGAGACTCGGCTTCTGATTTTAATGACTAGGTGGATGGTGGTGCTTTTTGCTGAAATGGAAAGATTGTGTGAGAGAGATTTGAGGGGGAAGATGAAGACTTTAGTTTGGACATACTAGGTAGAGATCTGTGTGAGACATATAGATGGAATCAAGTAGACAGTTTGATACATGAGTCTGGAATCCAGAACGGAGCTTTGGGCTGTAGGTAGAAATTCAGGAGTAACTTGTATTCAGGTGATATTTAAAGTCTATAGAATGTGTACATTTACTCAGGGGGAGGGTGTAAAAGAGAATAGGACTCAGGGTAGAGTCTTCAGGAAACTTCAGACCGAATAGGGCGCAGGATGGAGTCTTTAGGGACCTTCAGAGTGCTTGAGAACATTCAGAGAAGGGGATGCTGGCAGACATGGCCAAAGGGGAAGAGAATTTCAGGAACGTGTAGTACCATGGGGGCCAGAGAAGCGTTTTGGAGAAGAAACAAGTGGACAGTGGTGCCGCACAACACTGAGGTGTAGTAAGGCGAAGACTGACGTGTTCCTTGATTTTGGCAACAGGAAGGTTGTTGCTGACTGCGGCAGGTGACCTGGTAAGGGGGAAGCCTGGCTGGCAGGGCTTGAAGAGGGAAGAGAGGTGAGGAAGTAGAGAAGATTCAGTTGAGATTAATCTGACTGTTCTCATTTACCTTTTGCAGTACTTTCAACCACCTGGCTTGGTAGGTTGGGTTTTTTCAAGCCTTTTCAGAGTTCAAGAGGACATTGTGTTTATATTAACCAATTTCTTTGAATCTCACTGTCTCAGAAGCAGAGTTCATACCAGGTAGTGATGCTGTTAACGTTAGGCCAGGCAAACACAGAAGAGTTTTTCATTTTGTACTTGATTGTTTTACTTATGACCATTTTCTGTTTAGTGAGGGCAATAACTTAATCAGTTAAACACGTTCATTCCTTTGTTCCTTCAGCAGACATGTATTGAATACCTGCCCACACCTATGTTCTGGACTGAGTAGGCCCTGGGGACTCAAGAACTGCATGTCTGGCTGCCTTAATGGGGGCTCTCAATCTGGTGGGAGCCAGAGTCAACCCACGGTGGTTGTCAGTGAGATGGGAAATGCTGTAGTGTACTGCATTTGCTGCTTTCCTGCCAAGCATAGGCAGAATCACTAAGTGTTTACTAACCTAGAAAAGACCTTAATGGGTCCAGTCCACTTTATTTTGTACATAAAACATAGGTCCATAGAGGTTACGGTCACAGCTAGTTTTGATTAGAGCCACTATTCAAAGTCAGGGCTGTATGACTCCATTGCCCATGTCTGATACTACCATGCTTTCCTGCATCCCTTAATAATATAATTAACTGAACAGTGATTTGGAAACAGGAACTGATATGCCAGTATAAATTTTGAACTATTTCTCACATTCATCGGTATTTAGAAACATTCACAGGTTGCATTGCTTTGCTGTCTGACATGACTGATTGGATCTGGGGAAAGGAAAGGTAGTTAATGCTCTTGTAGGCTGTGTGGAGCTTCTCTGTTGACAAGAGAATTTGGGATGATGGATTGAACACTAGAATGGAATAAAGTGATCAGGATTTTCCTCTCATCAGCTGTGTGATTTTAGGCATAGAATTTCTTTATTAATGTTGATTGTTAATTAATGTTGCAGTTATTGCATAATTTTTGAGTTGTGGGGATTTCAAGATGCATTGTAGCACATCATCATAGAACAGAACTTTCCATCTGGTATGCATTCACAAGGACTCTTACAGGCCCCTCTATTTAGATAGCAGGGGAATTGAAACTGTATTTGGGAAGTATGTCCTGTGTTGGAAGACTATTCTTTTTTCCTTTTTTTTTTTAACAATTGAGGTCATCTCTTTTTGATAAAAAAAAAAGTTCTGAAGATTCTAGTTCTGGCAAAACTTGATGTTTCTTTATATGTTATCGGGATTGTACATGATTGATCCTTTTCAAAAAAGTATTTTAACTTCGAAGAATTTTTTCAGAGCTCAAAACTCTAAGCTCTTTAGTGTAATCATTAGGTGGAAACTGAAAAATAGGAAAGTCATTTTGTTTTTGTTTTTTGAGGAAATTATTTACAGGCTCCAGAATCCAAACTAGCTTTTTTTAAAGTTTAAATTTTAAAACATATATGTCCATTGTAGAAAATCATCCAGCTAGCCCTAACCACTATTTTAAGACATCTTTGTTGACATTTTGGTATATTTCCTTCTGATATTTTTTTTGTTTTTAATTTTTATTGTTATGTTAATCACCATACATTACATAATTAGTTTTTGATGTAGTGTTCCATGATTCATTGTTTGTGCATAACACCCAGTGCTCCATGCAGAATTTGAATATAGTATTGGAGGTGGAGATAAACTTTTCTGTACTTTCTGTACAGTTTTATATCCTGTTCATTTAATGTTGCAATGTTAACATTTCCTGGAGGAGGTGATTTTCTCAGAAAACTGGTAAGGCATTCTTCTAGAAATGGATGTGAATTTTTAACTTAAATGTAAAATTTTTTCCTGTATATGTTTTTTTTATGAACAAAAGGTGGTGGTGCTAAATGGTAACATGGAATATGGGCTAAATTTTACCATGTTGCTACGCAGTTGAACAGCATTATATACAATGTCGGATCTAGCCCTCCGTCTCTGCCATATTAAACTGCTTCTTCACATTTAAAATCTGTATTTAGGGGCACCTGGGTGGCTCAGCCGGTTAAGCGTCTGCCTTCGGCTCAGGTCATGATCCCAGCTTCCTGGGATCGAGCACCTGGTCCAGCTCCCTGCTCAGCAGGGAGCCTGCTTCTCCCTCTC